TGTTCCAAGCCTTTATTTTTTTTTTTTTTTTCTGGTACCGAGGATTGAACTCGGGTGCTTGTGCTTATGAGGCAGGCAGCGGAACCCACTGAGCTAAATCCCCACCTGCCCCTGTATTCTTTATTCCCATCAACCCTGCACCCTCGCTCGCTTGGTAGTGGAAGCTTTTTAAATAGCATCTTGCCACCAGAGTGTTAGTGAGGTATGCGAGTCTCCGTTTAATATATTTTAGATGTTTACTTTATTGGTATCTACAAAATAACTTGCTGGGCTTTTGATTCGGATACCTACATTTGGCTATACAAAGTTGGAAAGAGGTGACACCTTAAGGACATTAAGAGTTCCTGTCATGAACTTGCAATCTCTGTCCATTTATGTAGTTCTTCATTGATTTCTTTCATGAGAGTTTTATAGATTCATACCTAAATGTGTCATTTTGGAGCTGTTAATGTAAATGGTATCATGTTTTATCATCAAATTCTACTTGCTTGTTGCTGGTACGTAGGAAAACGATTGACTATTTTTTTCAACCTCATATCCCATAACTGCTATAATCCATATTAATTTCAGAGACAGTTTTTTTTTCCCTTCCCAAATCTGTGAACCTTTCATTTTTCTTTTCTTGCCTTACCGCATTGGTTCAAAACTCCAGCATGATGTTGCAAAACACTGGTGAGAGAGAACATCCTTGCCTTATTCCTGATTTTGTGGAAATGTTTCAAGTTTTCACTCCTAAGTGTGGTGTTAGGTTTAGGTTGAATTCTGTCCATCTCCCTCTTCCTCTCTTTTTCCCTCTAATCAAGTTGGGAAGTCTCTCTCAAGACCAAGTTTGGATCATGAATGGGTGTTAAATAATAATTGAAAGACAAAATTCAGCACACAGATTATGCCACATAAAGGGAGGAGTAGCAATTCATGATATATTTTTTAAAATCTGTGTAACTAATGTACATTGAAAAATGTATGGCTTTTAAAATTATATTTAATATTTTCCTTAAGACATGTTTTCTGTGTAGAAAAGATGGTCCACATAACATATTTTAAAGATCTTTTTTACTTTGGCTGAGTTCCTCTTGAGCTCAGGTCCTTAAAGCCCATGGAATTTTCTCCAAGGGTGTAACTCTTTAATAGAAACTATCCCTGGACTGTTTTCTCCCATTTGGAGAAGTGTCCTGGTCTCAGTAAGATCTCTGGTTGTTTCTCCAAACTGCCTGCCTTCTACCTTCCTTCATTTGTGGAAGTATCATGTTAAGATCTCAGTCTTGGCCACTTCTCTTGTTGTTGGCACAAAACACCCAATACCCACAAGTTAAAGGAGGAAGGATTTATTTTAGCATACAGTTGTAGAGATTTCAGTATATTGTTGGCTAGACCCCAGGCAGGGAAGCATGGCAGGGGGGCAACAGTCTATGGCAGGGCAGGCAGGAGAAGCAAGCAGTGAGCCTTCCAGACTTGTATCCCATCCAGGCTGCCAGCCAGGCTACAGGTCTAGAGGCCCCCCACATCCAGGGTGGCCCTTCCCCTTATCCACAACCAGAACTATAATGAAACAATCAGTGGATCAATTTAGCTATCACACACTTAATCCATATATACACCCTCTAGATCCAGCCACCTCCAAAAAGTCTGGCCTAAGAGCATTTGAGGCTTTGGGGGAACATCTAGACACAAACCATAATAATCTCTGATTACCTTCTTCATGCTATAATACCTTCCTTTGTTCTGGAACCATGAAATCTTCATGGGCTTTTGTTCCTCTATCATGACCTTCACTTGGTCTGTTTTCTGTATGTCCTTTCATGGTGCGTTTAAGGACTTTCCTTTGAAAACTTTGTGGTTGGTGAAGAGACTTCTCTGTGTATTATCTAGTCCTCATTTTTCTCTGCACTGGAATGCTGTTCAATTCTCCCACAAATTCAGCTGTTATCTCTTTCCCATCACACTCATCTTGTTCAGTCTTAAAAGATGTCTGCTCCTTTTAGTTTTGAACCTACTCAAGCTAATCATGGGAAAGATGGGCCATTCATCTTTTTCTTTGTTTTTGTTTTTAAAACTATGACTTCATGAGTAAAATTGGTTTCCCTAAGTTGGCAACAAGACACACCATGGTTTAATTGCATACAAATTATTGCCAAGGTCTGCCTTCTCTTCATTGTTTTTTGTGTCTACCTTTATTGAACTTTTCTTACTCTTGGCTCCTGGTCTCTCGGACATGTGCAGTCTCCCTGTCCCTTCCTGGACACACGTTCACGTGGTCAGGGTACAAGCTGCCGTGGGATCTGCCATATTCCTCTGGCACTTGAGGACCCGTGTCTCAAGCTGGCCCCGAGTCCACAGCACTGTGCCAAGAGGTTTGCAGTGCTGAACAAACATGGCCTGGTTTCCAGAAGCTCATTCTGCTAAACAATTTGGCAGAAAAAACTTAAAGCAAACATGGGCTACATTATGAAATAGAATACAAAATTCACATGAATTTTTAAGTTAAAATGAGGGCCTCCAGATTCTCCTTCCTCTGCTTGTGCTGTGTATTGGTCTCTTTTCGGGAGGGACCTGTGTTTGTACCCTGAAAGCACTGTTGGGCGTTAGTTTACCCTGCAGCCCAGGCACCACAGGCTAAGGCATTCTCTCTGCTTCCAAGCTCTTCCTTGATATTCCTCTTATTATTGTATTTGTTTTCTTTAAGTTTCTTTCAGGAAATTTCAGCCAGTTACCTCATTCATTCCTCTCCCTTTCCTATGCTCTCCTATTTGCCTAGAATTCAGCCTACATAACCTTTCTGGATGAGAGGCGATGCTTTCTTCTACCTGGGTGTGGGATTCTCATGGCTCATTATTTGCAAATGCATTATCTTTTTTTTTTTATACCGGGGATTGAACTGGGGACTTTACACTTTCAAAGCAGGTGGCAGAACCACTGCGTAAATCCCCAGCCCTGGATTTTCTTTTTTAGAGAAACTTGACTATACTACATACACCCTCCCTCCCTC